CCTTTGTTGTTTCCAATCGTCATTTTATCGAAATTAACTACACACTTCCTGTCTGTTTTTCATGCCCATCAGCTCGATAGTTACCCACTACTGGTCCCCACAACCTTGCCGAATGTCCTATCACACCACAGAGCTTCTAGTACTCCTTTGTTATCCAGCACCTTGATGCTCACAAGTGTCTGCTGAGATGCAGAATCTATGACAAAGTTGCACCTTTGGCCATCCAGCTTCCCTGTCACGTAGATACTACGTGTGGTTGCCATTTTACACTTAGCTGTTGGGACTTTCACGATGGAGGTTGGTGGGCGTCCCTTAGCACCAACCACTACTGGCTGATTTATTGGTGGTATTTTCTTACACTGGCTTCTCAGATGACAATATCATATTTGTTTTCAATATCTTACAAGGAAATTAAAATGTTATTTATACAACTCACCATTACAATGATGTTATAATAGTGTGTGTGAGTAGTGATTGACACAGCTTCACAACACAAAAATATTCTCCCTCTGTTATTTTTCTTTAAAAAAATTTAGCACATTATATTATTCCAATCAGAAACCATGGACTTATCATGATAACATTTATCATATTTGTTGAAACTATCAATGGTGCCTGTATCGGGCAAACCATTTTTTTTATTGGGTTCTCATGAATGGTAGGATAGCATGTGTCTCATTTGCCAGCACCAAAGCAGCAGCAGAAGGGGGTGGGTGTTAGGGAGTTGAAGCTGAGAAATGGCTGTGAAGCTCATAAAAAATGACAAAATGGATCAAATTGAGGATTTTGATATCTCCCCAGGACTCTGAAAGTCACTGAAGTTGGATTTTTTTTGTCATAGATAAACTGAAAGATATACAGATACAAATGGCTTTATAACATTGATACCAAATGACAATTCCTTCTTATAATCATTTAAGTCAATACAAAGTGTTTTAAAATCAGATCTGTTAACCAGAATTAAAAAAAAACGTTTGTGTAATAAATATTTATTAGACACAATTTCAAGTAACACAGATAAATGAAGTTTTAAAAAATACAATCTCAAGCTTAGAATGTAAGTAGTTAATGGGAATGTTAATACTTCTTTAATACACAGATGCACTGTTTTAAATAATGTATTTATTGATCCCTATTAGTCAATCAATATTATTTAACATGAAATATTTTGTTGGTATTTATTTTAAACCACGACACATATTCAAAAATGAGCTACAAAGTTTTGAAACTTTGAATAAGTAACCTTCATCATTTAATTTTCTCTGTTTAAACGGTTTAAAAAAATTTGGTCAAGTTTTACATATCTCAAGGATAAATCATTATAGTAAAATTATATTCAAATTAATTGATTGGAAACTTCACAATTTATTCAGATGAGTTCATTTTAAAGTTTTGTTCTCATATATCTCCAACAAATTAAAATTTTTTATGAGTAATATATTTTGAATGAAATGTAGAATTAGAATGAAATTTTAGTGACATAAAAATACTCTTTCATAATTACAACCTGATTCATTTTCAAAGCAGGTGAAAAAAACCAAAAGAAAAGTTATTAAGGAAACCACAAATCATCCAGTTCTCCCTAAAAGTAAGTGTTTAAGTTTCTTGCAACCCTTTGAGTCCTAACTAAGTTGCTCACCATTTACAAAATGATCTTACTTGCCTAAGTGTAACTATAGCTGAAAAAGTTAAGCCCAAACTCAGCCTTCAATAATCATTAAAATCATTATTGTATTTTACAGGCTAATTTGTATGAAGTAAAAATATTAAACTATAAAAACAAGATTAAGATTCAGATATTCTAAGTTCTTAACTATGAAGTAATAGTTCTTTATTATACTTCAACCACAATGTTCTCCGTCTTTGTACAGTGGTGATCCCTATCAAACTTAGAGTTACAAATAATATTGCAGTAATTAATTAACTGATTACATCATAGAAATGCACCCTTTTTACAAGCAGAGTGTACATATTAAAACAATATTACAAGATAAATACTTGTGTGACTTCACAACCAAATGAGCAATACCAAGGCTGTCACCAGCCCAGCCACGATGACGATGTAGATCCCTAGCATGAAACGACGGAAGTTGCTCCCCTATAGAAATATATATAAGCAGAATATTATGATTGTGTAGTTTGTAAATATAATTTGGAGATATCAATTAATATTCAAAATGAAATGCAATTGTGTTTATATTTTGTCAAAATATTTCTTACAAAATTAGTAATGTAAAGAAAGGGAAGATTGGAGCAATCCTTCAAATAATTCTAAAATTTTCTCCAGTATTAATCTTTTCAAATGTATTACTGAGAAGAAAATTGTGAACTTTATTTTCTTCTGAGCTATTTGCATCTCATGTTAACTCCAGTTCTACATTACATTTTTTACAGATTGGTGACAATGGTAACTAAAGATTCTACTTCAAAATGTAATGAATTATTAGTTGTAGGAAATTACTTATTATTCTTTGTTTCTCAGTTGTTTTATTTTATATAGGAATAAATTGTTCTTTGATATCTTTATGTCAACATTATCATGACTCATCTTGTAACCAATACAAAAAAATGAAAGATTTATGAAATTACCTGTAGCCATCAGTATATGCTTTGTGTTTTTCAGAATAAAAATTTGTTTGCAATTGTAGGTTGGCTGTATATACTATAAAGATATTTCATATAAATGTAAAGCACTTATTATCATTATTTTTCTTTATATATTTAAGTACAGACTTTGTAAAATATTAGCAATTTTCTTCAAGAAATATCAATTAATTTATTAACCTGTAGATGTACCTACAGGTATAATTGATGGAAAATAATGTTATGATATCTGGGTTGATATAATTCAATAAAGTTTTATATATTTTTATACTTTCCTCATTACAATTATCCATGTAGTTCACTTCTGCTTCCTGGTGTTGAATGATTACACGAACTCTCTTTGTAACAGCTTTCTTTATATTTTAATGCCTTTCAGAGTTATTTAGAAAGTTTTGTAGTAATACTTACTACTTTCCTGACTAAATCATAATCCCACTTTTTAATATATTATATAATTTTAAACTTATCTAAAGTTTGTTAGTATTCTGTAACAGGTACAATATTTTACAGTTACTTTACCTATTATTTCACTCTACACCTCTTGTAACAAATTTTGAGATGACAGACATTTTAACATGAAAACATTTAGTGTGATATAATCGAAAGAACAAAATGATAGTATTCCAAACTTACTGGAGCATCTTTAGGGCTGTCTCTCTCCTCTCCATTTAACTCTTGCATACCAATCTCTGTTCCTCCTGAAGATCAATACAAGTAGAACACAGATATAGATTAATGAATGTTTTGCTCACCTATCCACAAAAAAGGTAAATTATACAATACTCACACAAGACATATGTGGTACAATTTTGTTACATGTCCATTCACAGTTTCAATTGACAATACACTTATCCAAATTCAACTATTATAAATACCTATCATAAGTCACTGAGAAAACATACATTCCTTCACACAGACATAAAACCTTACTTTTTCTATCCATGATGCAAGCATGAAGCTGCATGAGTAGATGGAATAGGAAGTAAAAGGCAACATAGCCCACTAGGATCCAGTAGTAGGCATAAGGAAGATTAGCTGCTTGGAGTGACACCGCAAAGAATATTGTCAAAACTACATCAAGAGTAAAAGAACAATTAAAATTCAGTTCAATTATTTTAAGATTATGCTCTAAAAATCATTTTTCCTGGTTTAAAAAAAAAAGAGTTAATATTATGAACATTTTAAACATATAGGAGACAAGGTCTTTGTAGTTGGGAAAATTTTGACAAGTGACTCATTATTACTGTATAGAGAATATCATGAAAATAATCTTAGTCAGTAAATTTAGCTATTATTTTTTAATATTTCTTTTATTAAATTTGTAAATGATATTGTTTTTTATTTCAATATTTAATAATTTTACTTAACCTGCTACAATTTTTGCAGCATTTCCAACAAACCAGTGAAGCCAATTGAAGATAGGCCTTTTTCTGGCATCGGGTTTTGGACGCAACATAGCCATGATTGGCTGCAAGAAAATAAGAATGTAAATGTTTTTTGATGAACTTAAATTTTTTGATGTGAATAAATATGACTAACAATACATTACAGGATATGGAGAATGTTAAAGTTAAAATGTTCACTGGAAATATTTAATTATTTCACTTGTAGTGAATAATATGAAAATGTAGTGTGGTTTTTTTTCTCAGTAGTTAAAACCTAATGCACACACTTTTGATCAAAATAAGGTAATGAAAGAAGCACCTTTAACTAGTCTTAAATTGACACTCGTAACCAAGCTTACATGAAACTAGCTAAGAGAGGGAAAGATTAAGCAATACATGAATGTACTTGATTTTTTTTATTGATAGTCAAATCTAAACCTGAGTTAGTCTGTTGGACAGAGTTTTTATGGCCTTTTATGGATGAGGATAGTGACAAAGAAAAAATTCTATCATAAACCAAAAAGAATGAATAAGTAAAGAAAGTTAAAACCTACCTGAAGCAATGCCAGTCCTGTGGCCACACAACCTAGTATAGGATGGGGGTTAGGTTTAACCTGGAAAATAAAATTCATACAATAATCATATGATAGCTTGTATATCTTACAGTGGTATCTGTAAAAACATCTTCATTACATATATTAACAATTCTGCATGTCAAACATAGCAAGAAGGCAAAATAGGTCAGCTTGTGTTATCATACGTGTTCCGGTATGTTTTCAGGAAACTTGTCATACAAAATACACACTTATATATATTATTACTGCAAGTGGCAATATTCTGTTCTTTTTCAACCAATTTGATAACACTTATTATCAATATTTAACTTCACACTAAATTACTAAAAGCTTTGAACTATAATATATTTATTAGAAAATAGTACTGGGTATTACTGGATGTTTTGGCTTATTTATTTTTTACCTCAAATTCAGACACATTAAATAAGAGGTTAACATACCAAAATCAGATTTCTATTATTATTTGGGGCTGTGACTAGTTATATTTTCTAAATCAGACTCCACTGTTACTTGGCTTAACTGAATGTAAACTGATGATTAGAAACTATAAATATCTGACATCTAGTGTGTCCACTGGTGAGACAAGGGTAAGTTTACAGACTTACAATGCTAAAATCCTGGGTACTGTCCTCTGCGGTGAACACAGCAGATATCCCATTGTGGCTTTGTCCTAAAACAAACAAACAAACTGACATATAGTGCATATTTCGTGTAATAAAAATAAAAGCAATCAGCAGAACAGTTACTTTAACAAAGATTGAACCGATTACATCTATTAACTCACTTGAAGAGCTTGACTATTCTAAGTAAAATTTTTTTAGGTTAAATTTTAGTATCAAGACTTTAAGGATGTTATAAGAAAGGCTTAAAATCTTTATCATTGGGAGTAAACATTTATTCAAGACTTAATCACTGATACTTATGAGGAGTCACAACATCAAAGCTTCTTTGATAAACATTAGTCATTTGAATAAACTACTAAAAATATTGCAGATGTGGCAGAGGTAACCAAAAATGATTCTATATTCCTACTTGTATTTTATTGTAAAGGTTGACTTGATAATACAACCATACCTTGTCCACATAATGGAAGACATTTAATGAGGGATTAACTAAAAATGAGGGGATGTTTTTTTTTATGAGAAGTAATGGTGATCATTGTTTGAAAATATAGGTCTGACATTTTGAAATTGTTAAATAAAATTACCCAAGTATTGTAAGGATGAAATCCCTAGCCAGTTTACATGTTTTGTGGTCAAACAGAAACAATGAATTGAGCTCACGGCTGAAAACTATACAGATTCTTAGGGAACACAATGCCAAATGCTTGCCACACTACCAAATCCTTGTTTATGGCCTTCAAAACCATGGCAACAGATTCATTGTGATTTTGTCAGACCATTTATGCAGATGTTTTTCATAGAGGTGGATACTCAAACTATCCCGTTTGCCCCTGAAGAAGAAAGGTCCACCTTTTGAAAGTGCTCGGGGTTATAGAGTTTTTATTCATTTCTATCAAGACTTCTTGAACCTACGTGTTTTTCTAACATCATGAATTAATCCAAGTAAAATATACATAGTCTTAGTCTTAGTATAGTTAATTAAATAAATGAAAAAATATGTATTGAATTGCTACAAGTACAATTTGTAAAGACTAAATATTTTGTAGGTTTATTTGTAAACAAGCAAAAAAACTTTTCATTGGTCAACTCTACTACTGCACACCTGTAAAGCTCTGTATACAAGACACATAAATCTTACATTTGTTTTATGCACCAGTATGTAAGAACACTATTAACCTTACATTCAATGTCATTCTTTATAAGGTATACAAATCTCTTACCTGACTCCAACCTTCCACATGAAGGAAAATAAGTACAAACCCAGCAATCATTAAGGATAAACTCAACAACATCAAAAATCGATGAATCTATGAAAAATAGAAATATATTAAATTGCTAGAAGTATTAGAAAATTTACACTATAAATCAGTAAAACTGGTTTCACCATACAATGGTAAAGTTTAATTTTTATAAATGAACCATACAGTTAAGAATAGAATTGGATAGAGTTCAGTTATGACATTTATAACAAATCGAGATGACTGGGTTATCTATTAGTAAACAGAAGTCTGAAAATTCATTGTATATGTGGACACAACAACTTAATTTCAAAAAAGGACAACAAATTAAGATTTCAACAACTTTTGAGCATATATTATATTACTTCCATTTTTAAATTTGCAGTTATCAAAGGAAAAAAAGTGTAATAAGTTTCAAGTAAATTAAGAGCATGTTATCAAGTGCAAACAGTCTTGGATTCAAATCCTACTCAAGAGAGTCAGAAAGAAGTTGGATTATAACATTTTCAAGCACAATGACATAAAGTTCACGAATACTTTGAATTGCCAAGTAATTTAGAAAGAAAGAAGGACTGGTAAAATCAGGCTCTGAAAGTCAATATCAGAATTAGTATTCATGTGAGTTATATTAAGAAGATTGTATCCCACAAACTCAAACTAATACTTTTCTAAGAGAAATTAGGTCTTGTTTCAAATTGACACTCTTATTTAAAACAATGCTAGAGTAGTACCAATTTTCAAACTAATATTATTATCTGAGTTTACAAATCCATAGTCATTATGGGTTAGAATTCAGTTGTCTTGAAATGTACTTACAGCAAACCAAATTTTCACAGTACATAGTGTGTTTGCTTGCCATACTTGTTTATAATGCCTAGCCATGAGAATTGCAAGACTTGCAAATCCAATCCAAGCTGCAACCATCAAGCTTCCTAAGTGAGGGGAAAAAAAGGAACATTTGTAATATAAAAATAAACACTTTAAGTAACAAATTGTGCCTAAAGTAATTAGTTGAAGTCTAACTGTAAGCTTCTGTTATCAAAATAAAGTAAAAAAAAAAGTTAATGTCAAGGAACAATATATATGTAAATAATACACTTTATTTAAAGAAATGAACCAAAATAAAGGTTCTGTGTAAGATCAGTGTGGCTAAAATATTTGTATTGGTCATGGTATTGGTTAATAGAAACCAGCCTTTAAAGTACTTAAAACTGCAAGTATCCTTAAAATGTGATAGCTGTAAACAAAACCTCATCCACCTCTTGTGGTGGTTTGAATTGTTAAAAACCTGCCTTACTACATAGCAATTGTTAGCAGGTTTACACTTTAGCTTAGTTGGTGGAGCACTCTCCTTTATTGCAAGCAGTTCTAGGTTCAAATCCTGCTCAAGGTCATTAGAAAGAAACTAGATTTCCACATTTTCAAGCACAGTGACATAAAGTTCAAGAGTACTTTTAATTATCATGTAATTTAAAAAGAAGGAAGAACTGACTAGATCAGTAACTGAAAGACAGTATCAAAGTTAGTATTCAAGTAGTATTTCATTGAAATATGTTGAAAAAATTTAATTTTTGACACCAGTTTCATGTCAATGGAGCCAACAGAAAAAAACGGTGGTTATTTACATTTTGTCCAGAGAATTAATTTTTGTGTACAAAAACTATTTGCATATGCAAATAAGAATATCATAAGAAGTCTTTTTAGCATGTTTGAACACTTATAGATTTTCTTGTAGATTATGATGCTATTTGAATATTGTTATTTTTTGTAGTAGTATTTTTAACAGAAAATAATTTTCATACAATATTGTATAATACATTGAAATATCATGTATCATTGTCATGGAGAAGAAGAACACCTTTCTGATTGATGAGTGAAGGGCATTTCTGATGAAGGGCTTGATTTAAACATTCCAGTTGCTGACCATATATCGCTGCATTGACAGTTCGATGTGGATTGAGGAGTTTGAAATGGATTACTCCTTTGATGTCCCACAAAATGTAAAGCATCACTTTCTGCAGATAGAGTTCAGGTTTTGGGGTCGGAAGTGGTTTTTGTCTGGGACTGAACGATTGTTTTTGGCATTTAATATTTGCATAAGAATTCATTTTTCATCACCAGTGACAATTCTGCCCTAAAATTGTTCACACGTGTTACATGCCAGAAGAGATGAAGCAACATTCACACATTGAAAACAATGATCATTGGAGAGTCCGTGAGGCACCCAAACTACTTCTTTATGGAGTTTTCCCATATTCCTTAGATGTTTATGCATTGTTTCATGAGAGACATGCAATTTCAGGGCCATTTTACGAGTGTGTGTTGCTTTGGGTTAGACTCAACAAGCGTTTTCAGAGCATCAATGTCAATTCCA